GCAAACGGTTAACGTGAAAACTGCAGCCCTATCTGGCTGCCTTGATAACTCCTCATCCTGTTCACACTTTCCCCTGCTCCCTTTAAAAAGCACTTCTTAAGACAAGCCTTGGGAACAGCGAGCATCCCAGCAGGGCACATAAGGATGCAGGGAACTGACTGCTGTCTGCTCAGCTTCAGTTTCTGTTCCCCAGTGCCACTGGACACAGCTGGAGGGAATCAGGGGCAGCCATTAAAATGGAGAGAAGGTGATTTAAGTGGGGTCCTACCACCCGGCGCTTTTCCTGCTAGTTCTGGAGAAGTCGCTGGTCTGACTGCTGGGAACAGTAGCATGAGGGCTATGACTTGGTATTTGCTTGAGTCTCTGAAGTGAATTGAAATCCTGAGGAGTGTATCTGATGCTGAATATCTTTTTTGCCTGATAGAACCACATCCTTCTCAGTGCAGGTGAGCATTTTGCTTCATTTACAGCATGTGGGTCAAGTGTTGTTTATAGTTCTAGTGATTGTTGCCACCTTTTCTTTACCTGCTGTTGAGTAATCTTTTAACTTCACATGTTGTTTGAGGTGAGAGACTTGATTCTTGTCTCAGTTAATGTGAACAAGTTTATTTCTCAGCTTCTAGAAAATGTACATTGAAAGGCATTCTGCATCTGGCCTACTTTGTCAATCTCTAATGGCATTGTGCTTTATCAACTGGAGTGCTAAAATCTCCAGGATAGGTGAGATTAATCTTAATTTTAGATATTCAATACTTGGAGGCTGAAGTCTGACCTACTCACCCCGGGCTCCTTGTACAGTCAATGATGAAAATAGGTATCTCCAGAAGGTGATTCATCTCTCTGCCATCTATCTCGGGGGCGAGATGAATTGCCCTCTGGAAGCGCCTGCTTCCTCTCCGTGGCTGTAAAGGGAGCCTAGAGCAATTGGCTCAGAATTAGACACCTAAAAGTTAGACATCTAAGCCCAGGCAGCTGAATCCCCTGCCTGGTGTCTGCCTGGCACTGTTCCTCCATCGCCGTTCAGCTGTTCTGAATTTCCCTCCCAAATGCACGCAGCAGAAAACTGATTCCCTGTGGGAATTCCCCAACACCTGTTAAAGATTGAAATCACCTTCTAATTCCCTGTCCCTTCTGTGCAGCTGAGATCAAATTGTGAGGCGAATTAAGTGTGCAGTTGGGTGGGAAGGGGGATAAGGTTAGCCTTCTGGTTGCAGCCCTGTTTTTGTCGTTGGGCGAAAAGCCACAGGTGGCTGTCACTCCCTGGAGGTGGTATCTGCATATTGCTGCATGTGTTTGCCTTGTGAAGGTGCACTAAAATCTTGATTTTTACTTTTCTCCCGTTACGGCGCTTTTATCCTCAAGTGCCGGACTGGCTCGGCGGCTTCCAGTGGGAATTGTGTCGGTTCTGATAGAGCACTTGTCTTTGGTTTTCAGAGCAAACGGCACGTTCCAGGCGGGGGGAACAGCAGCGGGTGGGGGGAAAGCATCCAGAACTGTTCTGCTGCTCCCATCCCCAGAGAAACCTCCCCAGGCAAACTCGCACCAGATCTGATGCCAGTGCTATGCAAAACAGCTGCCAGGTGAACCAAGGAGAGTAGCATGGTCCTTGTCTGCTGTGCTGCAGGGAGCCAGCTGAGCTTATCGCTGCCTTTTTCCCCCCTGTCCGAAACACCCATAAAGAGGGGAATGAAGGCTTGTTTGATGGGGAAGCTCCTGGGAACCATAGTGCAAGAGGCTCAAAGCAATCTTTCTCCATTTAAATCCCAGGGCTTCCCCAGTTTGATGCAATTTAAGGAGGGGAGGACTGCGTCTAGCAGACGCTGGAGACTTTGGAACCCATTGTGTCTGGCTGGTGTAGCAAGAGGCAAGTTGTTGGCTGGTGCGAAGCTCCATTAAAATTAGTGGAGTTCTGGCAGTTTACAGCAGCCGAGAATCTGCTGCCACTTACACTTTTCTTTCTTTTTATCTCCTGGAGCTAGAAAAGATTAAATCTTAAGTGCAGATCCTCATTGTTTGAGCAGCCCGTTCCTTTAAGGAGAGAAATGACTACTTCAGTGTGAGTCCTGATGTTGATAGAAACTGGGAGGAAACTGAGTCTATTTTTTAAATATTTGTAGGAAAGTTACTGATTTAACTGAAAGAGGAGAGTTGTTATCCCTATCGGACCCAAACTTTAGCTTGCAGCTGTAATCATTTGAACTTTACTCAGACACAAGCTTTTACTGAAATAGAAAAAGATGAGATTTGTTTGCAAATAAATCTGTGCA